GCAAGTGTGCTTAGGTAAAACTGGAATTTAGACCAAGATTGTAAACCTCCAGAGAAGTGGAGCCAGTGAGGATTCTCCGCTAAGTTCTTGAGATTTTCTGGCAAAATTCCTCAAGAATAGCATTTCTGTTTCGTACCCCAATAGGCAATAAATACTACAACTACTACTAATAATAATAATAATAACAATCAAAGCTAATCGCCCTGACATCGTTATTCGAGACCGCAAATAAAATATGGCCTCCATATTGATATGGTAGTCCCTGCAGACAGCAATGTATCTTTGAAGATCTTCAAAGTGCTATCAAAATAAAAGGACCTTGAAATCGAAATTTCAAAAATGTGGCACATGGGAACATCAATAATCACTTTTGTAGTTGGTTAGAAAAGATGCTAATGGACTTATAGATGGAATTTCTTGTAGCCTATGCCTTAAAGAAATACCAAAAATACTAGTACAGCCCACACCTTACGAAGGGCTTGATCTATGTAAAAATATGTTGTTTTTTAATTGCTGAGTGGAAAATGTCATAATGCCATTTCTGACCTTAGGTCTCTAGGTAGGACCCAGAAAGAAATGAATACACACCAGAAATCAAATGAAATAAAACAATAATAGTGACAAAGCTAACCTACATGTAAAGTCATACAAAAATCGCTTTTTTGAGCACTGGGCGTATTTTGAGGAAAGTGTTCTTTTAGTTACTTATATCGAATTAAGAGATAACTAAATGTATCCGTTGTAATCATAATCTTACGCTGTGTCGCAAAATATAAAATAATAAACTAACCTACCTGTGAAATCAGAAACAGAAGTGTTTATACTGGCAGCTCAAGACCAAGCATATATTTTAAAGAATTAAATAGTACTAAAATGCCGTATACGAGAACATAATGACCAGATTAGTGTTCCTCTGTTATCTAGCCATTCTAGCCAAACAGGAAATCAATTTAAAATTTTATGAGCAAAACCTTTCAACGTTCTAGAATGTGATGGTGTTAATATGTTTCTGGTGGTTACTGTACAATACAAGCTATAAATAATGTTATAAAAAACTTCAAAGACATTGCTCGATACTTGATATATATCTTCCGGTCTTCTGATAAAATTCTCTCCCAATTTTTATGTCCAATCTATTTAGGAAAATAAAACATCCATATAGCTCTAGATACATACACACAATCCATACATCCACTTAAAAATTAAAAATAAAATCTTTTTTGATAATGACTAAAAAGTATAGCCAAAAGCGCTCGGAATTACAATTTAGAGAATTTTAACAGACTCTGTGTCTAGAAAAGAAAACACTTGTTCGATCACAAAAATAGTTGTATAAAAATCTTAATCGCAGTAAAATATCTATTGTCTTTAATTAAACATGTATAGAAGAAGGATTGCTGCCTAAATACACAAATTTATATTTGAAGAGAATTTTATTAGAGTATATAGAAATAACAATTACAGCAATTCCAGTAGTAGTAGGGGAACTAGGATTGATTTAGATTAGTGGTTGCCAACCTTTTTTTACCAATAGACAACTTTTACCTTTCATATTTTGTGGGACGATCCCCATAACCATTCGATGAAAAAGAAGCTTATTTTAGTATTTAGTAATAGATAAGTTTAGAAATTATATTATAAAAATAGTAAATGTAAATAAGAAAAAAAAACACGGTTTTTGAAAGTGTCAAACACTATTTTGGCATAATGCCTGTCTTCTTCAAGTTATATTTTTTAAAATATTTCAAAATATAACAGACATATTGTTTAACTTTGTCAAAAACTGTTTTTTCTTTTCTTTTTCTTTTCTTAAATCGCATTCTCTTAAATTTAGTAATAATGATATTAATAATAATGATGATGCTAATAATAATAATAATAATAATCTCGCACTTCTTCGAATTTAGTCAGACGAATGTCCTTATCCTTGTTGTTATTGTCACAACCGTTCGTCCGTTATGCTTACCTTACTTCTTCCGGTGTCTAACAATCAACATATCCTTCAGGGAATTTGGAACTGACTTGTTTCAAGGAATCCATGTTTGTGATACGTTTCTCCTTCTGTTGTCTTCGGATATTTTACCTTGTTCATTTAATACAGCTCAGTTATGGTCGCTATGTTTCCACTGAGCCTAATCAAACTGGTATATAGATGAAAATCCCGATTACAACTTCACCAAATCAATCTGCCAGCGTTTCGGCTGAAATTAATAAAATCCTTCTCTTAGAAAACATTTTCTTTTTCTTTTCTTTTTAGGAAAACAGGTTTCTGGAGTCTAGTAGTTTTTATTGTTATTTCCATTATTGATAAGGGGGTTCCTTCCTAACCTTTTGTTGAAGTTGTGTGGAATGCCAACATCATGATTATGTCATTATTTTCTCGAGTTATATGTGACATCCATTTCAATTGTTGCGATTATTGAAAATCCCAAAAATTTTCAAATGTTTTCTGTTATTTTGGTACTGTTTTTGTGATTCTGTAGCGCCAGGCCATGATGTT